AAGGGCAAGAGCCTGCATACCAGGGGTCTGGATCATACCAGGGTGCTCACCTCGTCTGGAGGGGGCAAGGCAGAGGCATAGGCTAAATTCGAACCCCCTCGACGACTGGAGGAACCAACACGAGCGCCCTCCTCCTCTGTAGTGGGGGTACAAGCCTTGGAAGATCCTACGCAGGGTAGTGGGCGCACCCGAGAGCCTATGCTGGGGGCATTCTCTACCCAAAGGGTGGCATCGGCTAGACCTGTAAGCGCCACGCACCAAATAGAAAAATACAACGAGCTCCTTTTCCCCTTTGGTCACTCTACAATGGGTGAGGGTGTGTCCCAAAGAAAGGTCCAGGGTTTTGCGGAGGAGGAGGAGGAGGAGGAGGAGGAGGAGGAGGAGGAGGAGGAGGAGGAGGAGGAGGAGGGGGAGGAGGAGGAGGAGGAGGAGGAGGAGGAGGAGGAGGAGAAGGAGGAGGCAAAGGAGGAGGAGGAGGCGGAGTGACGTGGGGAGGCGGGGGGGAAGGCTTCGTGGACGCCCCCCTGCTTCTCAGAAGGCGCGGGCCTTGCCTGTAGATGTAGGGCCGGTGCCTTCTGAGTCTCAGCCTCCTCCTGAGAAGCCTTGCCCCCTGTCCCGTGCCCCCTTTTGTGCGCGCCGCCAGGAGTATGCCTCGCATACCCGCAAGCTCGTGGCGCTGCGCAGGCAGGCAAAGGCCCCCCCCGTGGCCGCCTGGCACCAGGGGAGGGAGGGCTGCCGATGCCGCTGCTCGCCCTCGGAGGGCCCTCGCCGCCACGGCAGCGTTCTCCTCGAGATTCGGGTCCGAGTGCACCCCGGGATGTCCACGCGTGCAGCAGTTCACGCAGAGGGAGGGCGAGGCGGCTCCTGCTTCGAGAGGGGGCTCTCGCTGGACCCGCTTCCTTGAACTGTGCGATCCTGCCTCTTCGTGCTCTCTGTTGGTGAAGAGGTGCAGGGCAGCTTCCTTTGCAGGGCTGGGCTCTCGCCGGAACGGCAGGCCCCTACAGCGCTTCCCGTGGCGAGGAGGAGCACCTGTGGGGACTGCCGACGGGGCTGCTGACGGCAGAAGGGTGTATTGCAGCATTGCTGATGCATCCTGGGGTTACTCTGGTCCTCCTCCTCCTGGTCCTCCTCCTCCTCCTCCTCCTCCTCCTCCTTCTCCTCCTCCGCCTCCTCCTCCACCACCTCCTCCTCCTCCTCTTCCTCCCTCTCCCCCTCCCCCTCCTTCGTCCTCCTATTCGCGCTCCTCTTCTGCTCCCGCCTCCTGGCCTGGCGACCACCGTCGCAGGCGGCAGGCAACTTCTTCGTGGAGCCAGAGGCCAAGCTCCTGTTCGTGGTGCGCATCGTTGGCATCATCAAGCTGAGCCCCAAGCCGCGCAAGGCACTGCGGAACCCATCGATGACCGCAACGGCGAAGATGCTGGCGGCGGCGACGACGACGAGAACTGGCAAGCTTCCTGTGCAGAGGGAAGTGGAGAGTGAGGATGTGGGGGGTAGAGGAGGTGGATGAGGAAAAGGGCGGGTGGGTGGGCTGGCGATGAGAATGAGGATATGGAAAGGGAGGCCGATGAAGAGCGCGAATGCGAAAGGCGAAAGAGGCGGAGGATAGTCAAGCCATTTCAACAAGCGCACCTCTTTACAACATTGCCAGCCCAGCGTTCGCGCCACAGTCAGACGTCCTGCCTGCTATTCCTCCTCTTCCTCCTCCTCGTTCTCCTGCTCCTGCTGCTCCTGCTCCTGCTCCTCCTCCTCCTCCTCCTCCTCCTCCTCCTCCTCTGCTCCTGCTCCTCCCCCCCCTCTCTTTCCCCCCTTCTCTCCGTCGTCCTCGGAAAAAGGTGCTGCAGCTCCTGCGCCTGAAGCAGCTGCACAACGGCGTGTTCCTCAAGGTCAACAAGCCGATTCTGAACATGCTCAAGCTGGCGCGCCATGGGGGAGGAGGAGGAGGAGGAGGAGGAGGAGGAGGAGGAGGAGGAGGAGGAGGAGGAGGAGGAGGAGGAGGAGGAGGAGAGGAGGAGGAGGGAGGAGGAGGAGGAGGAGGAGAGGAGGAGGAGGAGGAGGAGGAGGAGGAGGAGGAGGAGGAGGAGGAGGAGGAGGAGAGGAGGAGGAGGAGGGAGGAGGAGGAGGAGGAGGAGGCAGAGGAGAGGCGAGGAGGCGAGGAGGAGGAGGAGGAGGAGGAGGAGGGAGGAGGAGGAGGAGGCGAGGAGGAGGAGTTGGAGGAGGAGGAGGAGTCTGGAGTGTACTGAGCAAGGAGGAGGGAAAGTGAGGAGGTGGAGGCGGAGGAGGAGGAGGCGGAGGCGGAGGAGGAGTTGGGAGGAGGAGGAGGCGGAGGCGGAGGAGGAGGAGGAGGAGGAGGAGGAGGAGGAGGCGGAGGAGGAGGAGGAGGAGGAGGAGGAGGAGGAGGAGGAGGAGGAGGAGGAGGAGCAGGAGGATATGGCGGAGGAGGAGGGGGGATGGGCGAAGGCCCCAGGCGCAGCGGCGGCTCGAGGCGAGGTTTTTGGTTCCTGCTGGTGCCTGTGTCATTTTCGGCCTCCCGGGGCCTCGCTGGGGGGCTGGTCTCGTGGCTTCGAGGCGCGCGTCGGTGGGGATGGCGTGGTGTTGTGGACGACGATCAATGGAGAGGAAGCATGTTGCCAAAGAGTTACCAGATGTCTAGAACATGTTGCCAACACTCCTCAAACACATAAAAACATGCTATTACCATTACCGGAAAATTTGTTCAAATATTTTAGACACATTTAGAACTCAATGATGGGACTGTTAGGGTGTCCACTGTCATGGCATCCACAAGCGTGTTCTGATGGCGACCATGATGATTCTGATGCTGCTGATGATGGTTATGATGCTGATAATGATGACGATTCTGATGCTGCTGATGATGATAATGCTCCTGATGCTGATGATGACGATGATGAAGATGTTGTTGATGATGATGGTGATGATGAGGATGGTGGTGATGATAATGATGATGATGGTTATGATGCTGCTGATGCTGATGAGGAGGAGGAATATGATGAGTATGAGGCGGATGATGATGATGAGGAGGATCATAACGATGTTGATATTTCTGATGATGCTGCTGCTGATGACGACCATGATGTTGATTATGTTGATGATGATGATGGTGATGATGATGATACTGCTATTAATGATAATGATGATGGTGGTTGTGGTGGTGGTGCCGATCATGACTATGACGATAGCGATAATGATGAAGCTGATGCTGATTCTGATGATGCTGATGATGAGGATGCTGATGATACTAGTGATGATGAGGATGATGATGAGGATAGTAGTTGTGGTGGTGGTGGTGGCGGCGATGATGCTGGTGGTGGTGATGATGATGATGACGACGAGGATGACGATAATAGTGATCCTGTTGTTGTTGATGACGATGATGGTGATGAGGTTGATGATGAGGTCGGTAATCATGAGTATGATGACGATGATGCTAATTATGATGATGATGATGAGGGTTATGATGCTGCTGCTGGTGATGATGATTATGCTGATGATGATGCTGATGATGAGTATGACGAGGAGGCGGATCAGGTGGAGAGAATTGGACGCGGATGATAATAATGATGATGATAATGCTGATGCTGATGCTGATGCTGATTCTGATGCTGATGCTGATAGTGCTGATGACGATGCTGATGATGATGCTGATTATGATGATGATGATGCTGATGATGATGATGACGACGACGATGATGATGATGATGATGATGATGATGATGATGATGATGATGATGATGATGATGATGACGATGCTGATGATGCTGATGATGCTGATAACAATGCTACTGCTAATACCAGTAATCATACATATCATATTATCATTAATGATATACGTAATGCGACTGCTGATAATGATGCTGATGATGATGATGACGATGATGATGCTCCTGATGATGGTGAGGACAATAATGATGACGCTGATGCTGCTGCTGATGATGATGATGATGATAAGGAGGAGGAGGAGGAGGAGGAGGAGGAGGAGGAGGGAGAGGAGGAGGATGAAGTGGATGACGTGGAGGAAGCGGGAAGACGGCACACACGTAATCGGTATGCTGTCTCCTATTCTAAATTCGGCGGAGTTTGTCCGCGCGCATGTTTCGTGTGTTCCGCTGCCCAGGTGCAGCCGTACGTCACGTACGGCTACCCCACGCTCAAGACTGTGAAGGAGCTGGTGTACAAGCGCGGCTTCGGCAAGGTCAACAAGCAGCGCATCCCGCTCTCCGACAACGAGGTCATCGCCAGCAGCCTCGGAGAGAAGGACCTCAACGGCATCGAGGATCTCATCCACGAGATCTACACCGTCGGGCCCAACTTCAAGCAGGCCTCCAACTTCCTGTGGCCCTTCAAGCTCTCCGCCCCCAAGGGTGGCTTCGAGAAGAAGCGCCACGGCTACTGCGAACAGCGCGGCGGTGCGTGGGGAAACCGCGAGGACATGATCAACGAGCTGGTCGCGCGCATGAACTGATCGCCAGTGGCGCACGAGACCACCGCCTGGTGAACACGGCAGCGCAACGAATGCATCGTCATCCTTCCCCCGCCCCCTCCTCGCCCCCCTCCTCTCCTCGCCCTCCTCGCCCGATCCTCGCCTTCCTCCCTCCCTCCCTCCTCGCCACCCCTCTCCTCGCCCCCTCCTCGCCCCCTCCTCGCCCCCTCCTCGCCCCCTCCTCGCCCTCTCCTCGCCCTTTCCTCGCCCCCTTTTCGCCTCCTCCTCGCCCCCTCCTCCTCGCCCCCCTCTCTTCTCGCTCCCTCCTCGCCCCCTCCTCGCCCCCTCCACGCTCCCTCCTCGCTCCCCTCCTCCTCGCCCCCCCTCCTCGCGTCCGCCCCTCCCCTCCACTACTCGACGTGCGTGCTGCTGTCCCCTCGCTCCTGGCGGTTCCCAGCGGGGCTCCTCCCGCCCCCCCCCCCCCGAGCTTCTCCCGCGAGTTGCTTGCCTCCGGTGTGCCATCTTCTGCTCCGTCCGGGTACCTTGGGTCCTTTGTGAGCGGTGCTCTCGCTGCCGCGCTGGGCTGCATTTTAGAGTGTCCGTGCTCTGCTTCCGTCGGTCAGAGCGTCGCCCTTGCCTCGGCGCGGGCCACGCTTCTGGATCCGATGCTCCCTGCTCGTCGGCGAGCGTACCGAGCTTGCCTCTCTCCACTCTCCCCTCTCCCTGCCCCGGCCCCTCCGCCTCTTACCCCCCTCTCCCCTCTCCCCACCTCTGCACCTTTCCTCTCCCCCTGCCTGCCCCTTTCTTCGTCGGGCTCCCCCCTCGCTCCCTCCCCCGTCGACCCGACCCCCATCTTAACCGCCCCGAGCTCGCCTCAGCTGCTCCTGCTACTGCTCCTCCCCGCCTCCTCCCTCTCCTCTTATTCTCCTTCTGCTTCTTCTTCTTCTTCTTCTTCTTCCTCTTTTCATTTCTCCTCCAATTGCCATGTTGCCTTCGTCTTCTTCCTCCTTCTTGTCCTTTTCCTTCCGTTTCCACCACTTCTCCGCTTCCTCAGTCTTTCCAGTTTTTCACCTCAGTCCTCCCTCCTCCCTCGCCCTCCCTCGTCCTCCCTCGTCCTCCCTCGTCCTCCTCACTCCACTCCCCCCTCCCTCCCTCCCTCCCTCCCCTTCCCCCCCTCCACTTCCGATCGCTCGCGCCGAGGCTCCCTCGCGCCGCTGCCGACGTCGTCCTCGCCGCTGTACGCCGCCGCCGCCCGCGCCGCCGCCACCGCGCCGTCGTTGCCGTCGTAGCCGCCGCCGTCGCCCGCACTGCCACGTCGCCGCTGGCGCCGTTGGTCGCCGTCGCTGGTGGCGCCGACGCGGCGGCGGAAGGCTGGGAACCCCAGCGGCGCCGTCTGCCAGCTGACCGGCGCGCTCATGCACGACCCAGTCGCCACGCCGGCGGGGCACGTGTTCGAGCGCGCCGCGCTTGAGGAGCTATCCCTCCTCCTCCTCCTCCGCCTCCTCCTCCTCCTCCTCCTCCTCCTCCTCCTCCTCCTCCTCCTCCTCCCCTCCCTGCCTGCCTGCCTGCCTGCCTGCCTTCGTCCCTCCCTCCCTACCTGACTCTTCTTTCTTTCCTGCCTCTCCATCCCTACCCTCCTCCTCCTCCTGCTCCTCCTTCTCCTGACCCCCCTCCTCCTCCTCCTTCTCCTCCTCCTCCTCCTCCTCCTCCTCCTCCTCCTTCTCCTCCTCCTCCTCCTCCTCCTCCCCCAGTTCACCAAAGGCCTGCAGGAGTTTGTCAAAAGCGCCGAACAACATGTATCCTCCTCCTCCACCGCCTTCGGCTGGGGGTGGGGAGGCGGAAGGGGGGGAGGTGGGAGGCGGAGGGAGAGGAGGCGGAGGAGGAGGGGGCAGCAGGAGCAGAGCTAGGACGAGGAAGGAGAGAAGCATGATGAGGAAGGCGAGGAGCAGGAGGAGGATGAGGACGAGGATGAGGACGAGGACGAGGATGATGCTTATGATGATTCTGATGATGCTGATGATGATGATGACGATGATGATGACGATGATGCTGCTGATGATGATGATGCTGATGAGGATGAGGATGATGATGATGATGATGACGATGATGATGCTGCTGCTGATGATGACGATGACGATGACGATGACGATGATGATGCTGTTGCTGATGATGATGCTGCTGATGATGATGATGATGACGAAGATGATGAGGATGATGATGATGATGATGAGGAGGAGGAGGAGGATAATTATAAGGAGGAGGCTCAGAGCAAGCCTGGTGTACCCTCCAATCCCAAGTCCCCTCCTCACGGGTCTGTGCAAGTCTCCCTTTCCATATCAAGACGTGGTCCCTTGGAAGGCCAGCGTCCGATGGGCCTGCCATTCCGGCGAGGGAGCCCCTTTTTTGAGAGGAGCTGCCTTTGCATCCACCTACTAGCGAGCAAGAAGACGTGCGCGAAGGTATGATCATATAGCCCAGCGACATCCGCGTTCTGAAGAAGGACCGACCCGAGCGAAGAGCTTTGGTTGTGAGTGAATCGCTCCCCATCCGTGCAGATATTGTAGTGGCCTCCGGCCAGTGCCGCCGATCCGGGGCGCTCCGGATTCGCGTCAAAACGGACGACGACGAAGACGACGCTCCTCCTTTTCCTCCTTTTTCTTCTCCTTCCTCGTTGAAGGCATACTGGATGCTTCTGGGGGTGTCTTTGGGGCCTCATGAGCTTATGGGGACCGTCAAACATCGATCCAGGGATGAAAACCTGAACCCGATGGGCCCAGGAGGAGTCCGCGGACCAATTGTGAGTGGATGTGGATGAGGATAAGGAGGAGGAGGAGGAGGAGGAGGAGGAGGAGGAGGAGGAAGAGGCGGAATATTGGATGTGACATTTCTGGGCAACAAAAACAAGAAGACAATGCCGACATGGAAAAGAGGAGGAGGAGGAGGAGGAGGAGGAGGAGGAGGGGAAAGAGGAGGACGAAATTCAAGGAGGAGGATGAGGAGGAGGCAGAAGAGGAGGAGGCTGAGGAGGTCGGATGATAATGATGATGATGATGATGATGATGATGATGATGATGATGATGCTGATGATGATGATGATGCTGATGAGGATGATGATGATGATAGAGGAGAAGGATTTGGATGAAGATGCTGATAATGAGGAGGAGGATGAGGATGAGGATGATCATAATGAGGATGTTGATGATGATGCTGGTCATGATGATGCTGCTGATTATGATGATAATGATGCTGCTGCTGATGATGGTGATGGTGTTGGTGGTGGTGGTGGTGATGATGCTGCTGTTGCTGCTGATGCTGATGATGAATATGGCGATGCTGATGCTGATGCTTATGAATATGTTTATGCATACGAATATGATGATGCTGCTGATGATGCTGCTGATGATGATGCTGATGCTGGTGCTGATTAGGATCCTGCTGCTGCTGCTGATGATGATGATTATGACATGGTGATGATGAAGATGACGATGAGGATGCTGATGCTGATGATGCTGATTATGCTGACGAAGCTGCTGCTGATGATGATACTTATCATGCTGGTGTTGATGATGATGATGACGATGATGGCGATGCTGAGGATGATGAGGAGGACATGAGGAGGATGAGGATGAAGACAAGGAGGAGGAAGAGGAGGAGGAGGAGGAGGAGGAGGAATCGAGGCAGAGGCGCAGGAAGAGCAGGAGGCCGATGATGAGGAGGAGGAGGAGAAGCAGGGTGATGGGGAGGAGGCGGAGGAAGAGGAGGACGTGGACGACGTGGAGGAAGAGGATATCCTTGACGTTTGTTGGCGGCCTTGGAAAGGCTTCTCGGGGCCCTCTTCGGGCCACTTCAGGGCTAGCTTCGGATATCAAAAAGGTCGAGGATGGTCGCTTGGCTAGGTATTGGGCCCCTTTGGCTGGACACCTCGCCAACAGGCTTATTGGTGACCGTCTTGGGGCGCTGATGGGGTCATCGGTACGTGTTCATGACGAATTTGAGGATGGGGGCGCTGTGAGCCCTATGATGACGATTTTGATGATGGTGGCGCTGACGATGACGACGACGGCGATGCCACGATGACGGCTATGATGATGTGGCTGCTGCTGATGATGATGATCTTGCTGATGATGATGATGATGATGATGATGATGATGATGATGATGATGATTATAATGCTGCTGCTGATGATGATTATGATGATGAGTATGCTGATGATGGTGATGGTGACGACGAGTACCATGCTGATGATGCTGACGATGCTGTTGCTGATGATGATGCCGATGACGATGCCGAAGCCGATGCCGATGACGATGATGATGATGATGATGATGATGATGATGCTCATGATGATGATGATGAGGATGATGATGATGATGATGATGGTGGTGGTGGTGATGATGAGTGTGATGATGATGATGATGATGATGATGATGATGATGATGATGCTGATGATGATGATGATGATGATGATGATGATGATGATGATGATGATGATGATGATGAAGATGATATTTAGGTGATGATATGACGATGACGATGACGATGGCGATGACGATGCTGCTGCTGCTGCTGATGATGATGATGATGATGGTGGTGGTGGTGGTGGTGATGATGATGATGATGATGATGATGATGATCCTAATTTTCTGCACTTAGGGGGCCCTAAGTGCAGCAAACAGTTTGGCCAAGCCCGGGGCTGTCGGTGTGGGTGGGGGGTGGTATGGGGGCGGCAGGAGTAGGAGTAGGAGGAGGAGGAGGAGGAGGAGGCGGAGGAGGAGGAGGAGGAGGAGGAGGAGGAGGAGGAGGAGGAGGAGGAGGAGGAGGAGGAGGAGGAGAAGAAGAGACAGGCCGACCCAAGCGAAAACCCATGGCTGTGAATGAATCGCCCTCCATCCGTGCAGATCTTATCGAAGACGCCTACGG